TGTGAAACCACTATACAGCTGATAAACAGAGACTGGTGACACAGATAGGAAGCCAAAATATTTACAACTGGAAATACTTGTTTTAAACTAAGAGAGAGAGAAATCTTAACATACAACCATAGCCAAGAGATAGTCAAATGTATCCTGCAAGCCCTAGTTTGGATGAAACAGAAAACAATGTTTTCTATGAAAGAAATTCATTAAAGCACAGCACACGAGAAAAGGGCAAGGAGAGACTATGCAATCACTGGGCTCATAATATTACATCAAACCACGGTTTGGCATCTCATGTGAACAACCATAAAAGAAAAATGGGGGGAAGAACAGACACGTTTAAACATTCATGTCTGGCTGTATGCATTCATATTTTGAACACTGATAAATCACAACCTGCTCTGTCAAATTTATGATGTCAAGGTCATCCCCCCCCTTCCATTTATTTACATAGAAAAAACAGGCTTAAACTTATGTATGAGAGAGATGGGTAATATACTAGAGTTATCTCTTAAATGTGCTTGTTTGTATTACATTCTGATACTATTTCAAGCAAAACTGTTTCACGGGACATACAGCTGATTTCTTAATTGAGCAGATAAAACCAATAGTGGGTCCAACAGTCAAGAAGGCTGTTTCTGCACATGCTGTGTAGAGGGAAGTGAGGGGCAGATGGGGCTCATCTACCTGGGAAGGTAGCCCATCTAGGAGAAGGAAAACTCTGATCCTAAACCTCCACTGCCTTGTGGGATATTCTTTGGGAGACAAAAAGGCTAAGGAGTAAACCCTACACAAAGGGGAATCCCTAAGACAGTTGAATGGCGCCTTGTATGCCTCCTTCCAGCAACTCCTGCAGCCAAGCTGGTGCCAAATTTCTGGCTCTGCTTTCCTTTGGACCACGTCAGCGAGGCCAAGGGGGGGTTCCTGTTGTCTGGGCAGCTCAGGACACACCCCACACACACACACACAAACACACTGCCCAAGCTTGTGCTCCAGCAGGTCACTTTGGTAGGCTAACACAGCTGTAAATGCCAACAACAGCACTTCCCTGAGAAGCTGTGGACAGCAATTATCTCTTAAACATCTCTCTTCATTTCCAAGGGCTATACCAGAGTTGAAAACATCTCGGGCACAAGAAAGGACAAGGATCAATTATCAACATCTAGGAATTTACAAGAACAGAGGTTAGCACCTAAAAATGTGAAGTGGTATGCTAGGAATTTGATTTTTTTCTAGAACAGGTTTCTTCGTACATCTCTCTTCTGAATCCTCTTGTTTTTCCATGTCTTTCCTCAAAGGTTTCCCCAGAGGCTGACTGCTACTGTGTGGATAAGACAGCCCATGACTGCCTTGCAGAAGCAGTAACCAGATTGCTTACAGTTGTTGCTGGAACACGGCTGCACAAGAAGCATTATGTGCAAAGGGAGAGAGAAACTTGCCAGTAAGATAACAGGACTAAAGGGCAGTTCATACTTTATGTAGCAAATATGGTTTCTGCCAGTACACCAGAGTTACATAAGTGTGAAAGAAAACTATCCACATGCATCTTTAAACATCCACATTCACAGACGTGGCAATCCTGGCCCAATCAGAATTCCCACATGGACATGTATAAGAGCATGTACACAGCTGTATATGTTCAACTGATTGTGTTTTTACACTTGTAGATTGTGTATTTACACTTGTAAATTACACTTGTAAATATACAACGTTTGCCGTGTAAAGCTTTAAGCTACTCTCACACTACCTAAGCAAGGCAAAAGTAACAGTTATGGGTTGGTTGTAACAGAATACAATGGTACCAGACAATAATGAAAAATCTGCTTCTTCGGTCAAATTGTCTTGTACAACCAAAGCCATCTCAATTTAAATACCTGATACAAAGCTTTACAAGAAAAAAGTAATGAAACCAATTTGTCACCCTTGATGTTTAATAACCTATAATTTACAAATTCTTTCCTGATCTCAGCAGCTTGTAGAACACATTGTGCAATGTTAAGAGTAACGTCTGACGTTATCTGCTACTGAAAATATCAGGTTTCTATTTTCCACTTGTTATAAGAATTCTAGTTTTTTTTCTTTAACACACTTCTTTTCAGATAGTTATTTCAAGCACTCTGATTCTTAAGAGCTACACCTCAAGTCAAGCATTTTTTTCCTGGCAAACAAAATATTTTCCCAATCTGTATAAACACATGAAGTTAGGAGTGCCGGAAATGTGCAAAGGTGAATCAAGTGGGTACATGTAATTTAAAACACTGAACAATGTTTCCCAATAGTGAGGTACTATACAAAGTAACCTTACAAGAAATATGTTGAAAGGCTAATTATTTTGAGTCATGCTAAAAATAGAGAGGAAAAAGGAACCGTATTGATTTTTAAAAGGTGGGACAGGAAGGACTTTGCAGTAAGTTCCCCAACTTTTAAGACAGCTATTTTTAGTATGCATTAAATCGAGAACGTTGCTGGAAAAACGTCAGATATAAAAAGTAGAAACCTAGAAGGCAAATACATTGACAGTCAAATTCAAATGAGATGCCTTTATAAGCACCCTTAATCACAGGCCAAAGACATTTCCATCTGGTTCTCATTCCAGGAAGCTACATTCCAATCAACAGTCTTTATATTCAGGATGCTTCCACACACACAAAGTCCTTACCAGTCAGAAGAGGTGGCAGAACCAGCATGAGAGACCACCTGAGGGCTATGCAGTCCATTTTCCAATTGCAGTGCTTCCTAAGGTGAAAGTTACCTACGGTACTTTCCTATAGGACACTGCCATACTGTCTCAAACCAGTATTCCAAATAGCAGCAAGTCTCCAAGGTCTCAGGCAAGGGGTTCAGGCAAGGCAATACTTTGGGGGAGTAAATAAATGACCTTCTGCATGCAAAGCATGTATTCTCCTCTGAACTGTGCCCCCTTCTTATGCTTCCAACTGTGCACTACAACAGCAAAGCAAGAGAAGTGGAACCTAATATTTTGATAAGCCTGGAGCCAGCATTACTTAGAATAATGGTTACTATTCCTCAGTGTCATATTGCAATGAAGAAGAGTACAGTATCCTTTGCGGGTAAATATTTAGGATTTTTTTCACAAATGCCAATACAGCTACTTCTACTTTTTGAAGCTCTTAAGCAGCTGTAAATAGTACAAATAGCAGAATACTTTTGATGCAGACATTCTGCAAATCTGTAGTGCCCAGTAGCTTTTAAATAACATCCCTTTATTTACATTTTAGGGAAGTACTAGACTACTCAGCTGAAAAATACCTGCAGAACACTAGCTTCTCGCTATTGCAGACAGTAGGTTCTTGATTCATTGAAAACTATGGCCATTTGACTCAATAAACCTGTCTTGACACCAACTACCTACTCCACTATTACTCCCCTCTTTCTTGACAAGAAACTTGAGCAGATGGTCATTCTTCTATCATTTTGCTGTGTCCTTGTCAGTTCAGTTTCTGACCTGGATATAGCACCCAGAGGGCATTAGGGTGCTGACAATCTTCTGACAACAAGAATTGTACTATCAGAACTTTCTGCAGCTTTCATAGTTGCTGAACATACAGTAAATTCCTGTGAATCTGGCTACAGAATATTTTTAAATTTCTTCCTCTTCCATGAGGTGGATAATTAAGTTTTAATGGGTTTTTGTCAGGACCAGCCCCCATATATTTTGGGACCTGAGCAGGACCTCTAAATGATGTAGATTTTCCCTGGCAGGAAGGGGGACATCAGGAACATGGGGAGAAGACTGGCATAGGGATCTGCTGACCCTGTGGATCCTGCCGCCTAAAGCAGTCACCTCATCTTGCCTCATGGGTGAGGTAAGTAAATGTTTCGGATCAGAATGGCAAATGTCATCATCATACACTGAGCTATAAACTCAAAACATTACAGATAGCAACTACCAAGTGAAACCAAGAGACAGAAACTGCTTCCTATTTGTCACACACCTCCTATACCAAATTAAGGCAAGCTTCACCATGTTCCAGCTCACACTGCAAAGTGTTTGTCTCCAAAATGACAAACCTACAGGGGGGGAAATGATGCCCCCGTATAACTTCCTTTTCCTTAACACTCTCCAGCCCCAGGCACCTACACACAATCTTTTGCCACATATCCACTGGCTACACTGATAACTTACATAGATGTGAAAACCACCTGCCAAGTAAGGCACATGAATGAACTTAAATCAGCACCTTCCAGATTTCAGTGATATGTATGAATAGGGCAGGGGCTTCAGATCAGGAGCATCCAGACACTGCGAGGAGGGACGGGCAGCCTTCAGACTTGCTACGTCCACTTTGTTGTTGTTGTTTTTACTACAGCCCCAAGTCCCAACCAACTAGAGCCAGATACAAAAGAATTCTGAGACCGGGGATTTGTTCCAATCGCTGAGAGAACCTACCAGTTAGACCCATATCTATCTTCTGCCCAGCCCTGACCCGGACCACACCTTAAGTAATGAATTCCAATATGCAGGTAACACTCACTCAATTCACTCTGCTGGCACAGGCTGGGTAACTGTACTCGGAAATAAGCCCACCCCCTAAACTCAAGGATGCTTAGGATCCCGGGTAGCTGTGCACACTGGGCTGCAATCCCGAACTTAGCAGCGCTTGCATAGCGGGCCTTGCTCGCGAGGAAGCACCGCACGGGGGGGGAGGGGTGTCCCACGGGAATCCTCTCCAAAGTCCACAGCGCGCCCATCCCTCTGAGGAACCTTTTGCCCACTCTTGAACAGTGAATTTGGGGAGGAGGGAGGAGAGCCATGGGGGGGTGAGGAGCGTGAAGACAACCATGGCTGTCGCCACGCATCTTGTGCGACACCTGCCAGCCCATCCAGCCAGGCTTATCCCGTCCTCCAGGCACTTCGCGGTGAAGGGGTGGCGACAGCCCTCTTTCCCCGCGGCGAGGGGGCATCCACGGGCGGTGGCGGCGGCGGCGCCTCGGCCCCAGCGCAGGCCGGGCGCGCCTTCCTTCCCCTCCCCGCGCGCACTCACCGTCGATGTCGCCCAGCGTGAGCTCGTCGCCGAGCTCCGTCAGGGTCTCCATGGTCTCCATGCTGCTCAGCTCGCCGCTCTCCATCGCCGGCGAGGCGCAACCGGCTCCTCCGCCGCCGCCGCCGCCGCCGCCCGCGAGTCAGCAGCCCGTCCCAGGGAGCGGCCGGGGTGACACCCAGAGCGTTAACCCCTTCCCGGCCGGGCGGCGCTGCCTCAGCTCAGGCTCCCGAGGCTCCCGGCCCCGCGCGGCGGCGCCATCTTGGCCCAGCCTCCGCCTACTCCGCCCATCCACCTGCGAGGAGCCACCGCCGCGGCCTGGGCTGGTTGTCAATGAGACCAGGTCCCCGCCGGCCAATCAGCGGGCAGAGCGGCTCGTGGTGTGATGGCGCGTCAGCGATCAGCAGCTTTCGTTAGCGTGCGGCCGGGCAATCCCCTCCCGGGCGGCCCGCCTCGCTGGATTTGAATATGCATAAGGAGGCGGGGATCTAACCCGTGTTCGGGTTTGAACTTGAAAGTGACAGGGCGCCCCTCGGTCCCTCCAGCAGAGGAACGGGATCGCCGCTGTGCTATACTGTGACACCGTGCGCCGCACGAGCAAACCAAAAACGAAGTGTGTTGGTCCTGTAGACTAGAGGGAAGTCCTAACATCCAGAGTCAGGCAATACCTTTATAATGAAAAGTCAAAATGCCAAAATAAGGAGCAAGCTTTCGAGTTATCCAGGTCTCTTCGTCGGTCTGGGTGTAGTGGGGCGGGAAGTCTGCATTTGATCATTGCAGTTCGAAATGGATGATTTACTTACCTCCTTTGCACAAACTTTGAACAAATCGTGGCAGTCAAAACTCAACCCTCAGGATTGAGCATTGACAGGTTTGGTCCAGTGGCTCTAGGCTTACTTTTCCAAATAGAATTATGCATAAGTAATAAAATCAACTTCACCACAGGTTTCAGCTTGAGAAGAGAAGTCAAGTCTTTCTAGACCATGATGGGTCTTTATGGGGATGCAATTCCATACTGGGTGCTCTATTTGTTAGATATGACAAATTTGTTAGATATGACAAATTACTCGCTACTATAGCTGATGCTATTAGACACTGTGCCTTTACCAAAGATGTCATGGAGTTTGAAGAAGCACGAACTCAGGACGCAAGGGAGAAATGAGCTAAGAGGAAGGCACATTTGGCAAACCCTCACCGTGATCAACTCCTGCCCAGAAACCCATGTCCCCACTGTGGAAGGACGTGTGGATCCAGAATTGGTCTCCACAGTCACTTACTGACTCACTGTTAAGACTGTGTTCATGGAAGGCAATCTTACTTGGCTACGAGTGATCGCCAAATCTTTATATGTGCACTTTCCCAGCCCATTAAAAAAAAAGGAGCATCTTGGGCAAGGTATTTCGTATGGAACCTAATATTTTCATCTCATTTTTTCCTCAGTATTCTAAGGATTTAAATCTTATTTAAGCCTCCATTCAAAGACACTTCATATGTTATATTTGTCAATGGTATGGTCTCTTTCAGTTGTTTATATATGCATATCAGAGTTATAGCTTTCTGTGCCAAGGCCAGGAATACAGTGTTCTTCCTATGCAAACACTTTTAAAACAAACATCACAAAATACATGCATTATCCAGAAATGATCCATGATTGCGTGTTTCTCCAAGGTTACAGGAAGCAGCTGAGGAGTGTCACTGTGAAAACAGCTCCTGACCTTTCCTGTCAGCAGTGATAGGAGGGGATTGCCTACAATGCATGAAATCTTATTCTGTGGTCCAGCATCTGTTGCTTCTCTCCCACTTCCACCATTGCTTCTCAATCAATTTTCCAAATAAATAGTGCCATACTTTCACTGGATTATTCAAGAGGTGGCAGTGCAGGTTTAAATAGGGATTGAAAGTAATAAATGGAGCATGTTCACATTCTCAGATGTGCTTCAAGAAGAAAAGTTGATGCCAACACTTTGCCAAGCACCAGTGGATTAAGTTTCTTCTTGTATCTGCTTAGCACTGCTGCATCAGTTTTACAGAGTCAACAGGATACAAAAAGTTGTGTTTGATGTAAGGAGCAGCGGCACAGAGCCATACTGAAGATAAAAAACCAAGGATACTGGCCATATCTAATACCCTTGAATGATTAATTCATGGATGTTCCATCCCCATATATTACACAACATTAAAGCTCATGTGTTTTGGACGGCATCCTTGGCCTTTCAGATTAAAGGAAGTGGGCAAGATGGAATTCAAGAACACTTACCACAAGTTTTGAGTGTTCAGTTAATATATTAGTGAGCAAAGATAAAAACAAAAAGGTGACTAACTGAAGAAAGTTTCCCTAAATTAGAAGTTCTGTCACTATTCTATGTCCTAGGATAAATTTCTATGCAAAATATCTTTAATTTCCTCCTTGTTTCATATGATGTAAAGTTTACAGTGTAATCCGAGGGCATTTTTGGTGGACACACACACACTCCTTATATTCTTATGTTCTGTGTTCAATCCACAGCATCTTCAGGCAGGACTGGGAGAGACTCCCTGCCTGAAATCCTACAAAGCTGCTTCCAGTCAGTGTAATCAATACTGAGCTAGATGGTATAAAGCAGCTTTCTGTAAACTTTAGGATTGGGTACTGTTAGAGAGAAATCATCAGCTTTGGGTATTTGTTGCAGGTGTTTGATGTTGCAAACTGATTAGAAAACCATCTCTAGAAATGCTACATGTATTTGGAACTGAAAAACCTGCTGCTTCATCTCCAGCCAAGAAAACAACATTGAAACAGTCCTACTTTTACGTCACACATTAAAGAGTCTGTCTTTTCTTCTTTGGCGATCACTTGTAGCCAAGTAAGATTGTCTTCCATAAACACTGTTTTAACAATGAGTCCGTAAGTGACTGCGGAGGCCAATTCTGGATCCACACGTCCTTCCACAGTGGGGACATTGGTTTCCAGGCGGGAGTTGATCACGGTGTGGATTTGCCAAGCATGCCTTCCTCTTAGCACGTTTCTCCCTTGCGTCCTGAGTTTGAATGTCTTCATTGACAATCGTAAAAAGTATTTCCCATGCTATCAAGAACCATGCCTCACAAGCCAGTGACAAATGTTTGCATTTTTTTTTACAATTTTCTGTTTTATTCAAGAAAAGCAAAGTCCATTTAAATACATATCGAAAACCAAAGCAAATGTAATTTTGATAATAAAAGTCGTCTCCATCTCTAACCTTGTAAAACAGCCCAAAGTCAGCAAGTCAAACTGAAATTCCCCTAATAAAACCACAACCCTCCTTTTCCACAAAACAACCCGCCACTGGCAAGACTGGTCCAAACCAACCTTGACAAGTAGTGTGCCAAGTTATAGCACTACTCATGACAGTGAGGGGCCATCACACTTAGGGGAAATACAATACTCCAGTTAATCAGTGTTTGGAGATAATCTTGATGGTGTAAATCTATCGCAGTCTTGAACAAGAGCTACCCATTGTGGCAAACTGCACAGTGGCTTCATGCTGAATGCCTGCAGTATACAGGCCTACAAGTCAGCAGGCCAGGGAGAAATCGGTAGCAGGAATTAAAAGGGAACACTGACCATACTGTGGGCAAGGCTGGCTGGCCTTTACTATGAGAGCAGGTACAGTACAGCTGGAATCCAAAACGAACTTAGCTCCAGGTCCAAACCTAAATGGAATGCTTGAAAAAGTCAAGAGAAAAGGCAGCTTGTTCCTGTGGAGCAATAAGGCAGTAGACTGGGTGGGAAGGACCATTCCCTCAGAATTTCACTGACACAATCGATAGGCAAGCAGAGAAGAAGAACTGAGAGAACAAAATCTACACTGTCAGACTGTCTGCTTTTCCGCGGAGTAAGAACAGTGGCAAGTGAGTATCTCATCTTGACATTTCAAATTAAAGGTCATCACCAAGATTGCAACGGCACCATTAACTGAGGGATGGGGATGTACTGAAACAGTCAAGAGTCAGCAATTATGGACACAGCAGTTCCACTCTGTACCCACTGGACAATAGAAGCTGAAGAAATTTACATAATCACTTCTCTCTAGCTCTTCTAGTGCCTCACAAAGATGAGCAGATAAGTTCCCTTCACCATAAAGAAGGGGAATGAAATCTCCCATCTCCTTGAATGTTTCAGTAATTTCCCATTGTGCAGTAGTGGCACCGCTGGTGACAAACAATAAATGTGTTAAGTCTTGAAAGTGCCACAAAAGTCTTTGTTCTTTTTGTTGCAGCAGACCAGTACAATATGGCAAAATTGTCAAGTGCAAATGCTCGTTGATGACGACCCGACCGTGCTGTTCATCTTCTCAAGCCAAAATTAACCACATTAATTCCCGTCCTCCTCCTCTTTTATGAGAAAAAATGGTTTAACAGCCTTGTGGAAAAAGAGGAAGAACCAGAAAGGAGTGTGGATTATTACGGCATTTTAATAACAGCACCTCTTTGACGTATCCTAGGTACATTCAAAAGGAGTACACTGTCAGTGTGTGAATAATCCCAAAGAATCTATGTCCTTAACCCATAACTCTTAGAACCCTTAACTTTTTGAAGGTGATTCTGCTGCCCCCTCAAGTTAATCTTGCAATTCTGTGTTACCTTACCATTCTGACTGCACAACAATTCACAACCTCTGGTGTTATGAACTGCAGAGGTGGCATGAGCCAGAGAACTTCCCTTTCGCCGCCCCTCTCCCTAAGCGTTACAAACTGGCAAAAGCCACATGAAACAAAAATACACAGAGACATGAGGAACAGCCTCTGACAAACTCTGTACATTCCAATTACTCGAAAAAGCCTTCCCATAAGGGAAGATGTGCTCAAAGACCGCAATCTCTGCCTGGGGCGCTTCCCACAGCTCAATCCAGTCGTTAGCCAACGTCTTGCTGAAAGAAGAAACAAACTTCCAAAACCTTACAAAACAAAACCGCAACATCCTGGCGTTTTCCTGAGGTCACCAAGGGACTGGGATGCGCCTGTCCCAGCAGCTTCCATCTCCCGCCCAGGGCAAGTCACGGCGACAGGAGCAGGTGGCAGCATTACAACTCCGACTGTGAGCGGGAGATGCGAGGCCCCTTGCGGATCTCCTTCCGCTTCTCCTCTTTCCTCCTTCGCTTCTCTTCCTCCCGGAGAGCCTTCTGGAATGTGTCCGCACTGGGGAAAAACTGACAGGGAAGAGGATGAGCTCAGCCACGTGGGAACAAAGAGACAGTTCTGCGCACAAGCCTCACAGTTAGCCAATTACACCTCCTCCTGCCACTTGCACCTGCTTTTCATATCTGTAGTTTCAATGACTT